CCCGGCCCGGGCAGGGCACGGGCAGGCTGCATGCAGACGACCCTGTGCCTCCCATCCCCCTGTGTGCTTGGGGAGGAAACAGCAGTTATTGCTCTTGGAGACAGCGGTGGCTTGGCTTGGCATTTCTTTTTTTAATTTTTTTTTTTTTCCCTTTTTTTTTTTTTTTTTTTCCCCTCCTCTTTTTTATTTCCCTTCACTTTATAAAAAGCACCTGACCGCAGGAGGCAGCCGGCTGCAGCCCACTCGCCCGCCAGCACCCAGGAACGGCTGGAACCCCCCCAGAATCCCCTCAGTGTCCTCGCTTCACCCCACATCAGGTGCCCCCCCCCCCCCCCCCCGAGTTTGGGGGGCCACCGCAGCCGCAGGGAGGGGTGCTGTCACCCTCACCCATCGCATCTACCCGAGCACCGCAGAGCCACGCTGGAGCTGGGAGATGGCGCAGCCGTCACCCAGCCCGGGGGTCCCGCTGAGCTGCCCGGCCCCCCCACCCCACCTTGCTCACCCCACGGGTGGGATGTGCGCTGGTGGGAAGACACGGCAGGCTGGGGGGGGGGCCCCCCCTCTCCCCGCCAGCTCCGTGCACCCCAGCATCCCTGCCAGGCTGGATAGAGCTGAGGCATCTCCCCGCGCCGGGTGGGGATACAGCCGGTGGCACGGCTGAGTGCCGCGCCGTGGGGGGGGGGCGTGGGAAGTGGGGGGGCTGCCCCAAACTGTGCCGTGGGGCCCAGCTCCTGGGCCTCCACCCCCCCCCCGGAGCTGGCTGGGAGCTGGAGCCAGGAGCAAACATCCTCCGGACGTTTGGGAAGAGCCTGATTGCCGGGGAAGGAAGGGCCACAGGCAGGTCGTGCTCTGGGGCTCTTCTTCCCCCCCCCCCCCCCCCCAGGTACAGCAGGACGAGCAACATCCCCTCCGTGCCTCAGTTTCCCCCTTCAGCGTGGGTGTGAGGCCCCAGACCTCCCCCCTGCCCCAAGTCACCCACACGGCTGTTTTAAGAGGGAGCTGCTCTCCCAGGACAGCCCCCACCCAAGCGGGGCCCCCAAATTTAAACAGGGGAGCTCACCGGGGAGGGTGGGGGGGGGGGGTAACGCCAACGCCACCGCCGGCTGCGATCCCACGCCAGAGCCGGGGCGAGCGGGCAAACAAACCTGGCACGATTTGGGGCTAAATCACCAGCGTTAGGGCGGGAGGGCCCCATCCGCGAGGCCGCACCCCGAGGCCACGTGTCATCCGCCCCGAGCACCCACGGGGTGCACCCGGCAGCACCCACGTCCCATAGCTGCCACCCCACCGGCCGGGGGGGGGGGGTCGGGGGGGAGGCCTTGGGCCCGCAGCACCCAGCCACCTTCCCTTCCCAGCCCCGGCCGTAGGCAGGGTTATAATTAAACCTTCCTCACATCCTGCGCGATGCACTGAGTCACTCCTCGAGCAAACCGGAGCAAATAAAGAGCTTTTTTTTTTTTTTTTTTGCCTTTTTTTTTTTTTTATAACAACAGTCACCAACTTCCTCTGCCAGCGAGGCTCACCCCACGCCGGCGGCACCGCCAGCACTACGCGCACCCCAACCCGGCTCCCCAAAACGCAGCCGGGGCAGCGGGCGGTTCAGCTGGACACAGCTCAGGTTCCCGTCCTTCTTTTTTTCTAGGTGACATTACCCCAAAAGTCACGGCACCCCCCCAGCTTGACAGACCCCCCAACATGGGTCGTGCCAGCGGGGTGACGGTGACTGGACCCTGCCCACACCCCGGCACAAGGAGCCCGTTGAACAATCCTGTTTATGGAAAGGTTTTGGGTTTGGTTTTTTTTTGTTATTTTCTTTTTTTTTTTTTTTTTTTTTTTTCCTTTGCGTTTAGGTAAAGGTAAACGGAGAGTCCCCGAACCGGCTCCCCCCAAGCAGCTGGGGTTCAAAGAGCCAATTCTTGTCCTGCGTGTCCCGGGACGTGGGTATTTTCCAGGCTGGTGGCCAGCCGGTTGCCTCGGGGGGGGGGGGTGCGTTTGCCTCCAACCCCCAATTTTACTTAAAACGGGCTGGGAGCAGCTTAGGAGCCACGGCCCTGCAAAGGCTGCTGCAGCCGAGGGGGGGGGGGGGGGGGGGGGGGGGGGTGGCCCACTCCCCGCTGCGGCACTGGGGACAGGATAGGTGCCACCCCACACCCCCCCCAGTATCACCCACCCCCCCCAGTATCGCCGGGCTGTCCCAGCACCCCACTTTGCAAAAGGCGGAGGAGCGAGTGGGGTGACACCCAAACCAGGGGGGTGGGAGCCACACACACACACACACCCCCCCCCGCCCAAAGAGGGCCCGGTGCTGGGGGTGTGGGTGCCCACCGGCTGTACCCGCGGGGAAACACACACACACACACGAGAAACAGGGCACGGACACGCGGGGCGCTGCCCCCCACGCCCAGCCTGAAGAAGAAGTTGCAGCGTTTTCCCGAGAGCGGGCTCTGCCCCGCGGCTGGGGGGGGGGGGGGGGGCTGGGGTCGTGTAGTGTGGTCCCGCGTGGGGCTGGGATCACACACACACCCCCCCCACCCCCACGCGTCCCTCCACCGACCCACCCGGAGGTGGGGAAAGCAACCGCGACCCGGCTCACGCGTGGAGGGGGGGGGGGGACACACGAAGACACAGCGCACCCATACACCCACACCACCGCCGCCACCCACCCCCCCCCCCCCCAAAAAAAAAAAAAAAGAAAAATAAAAAAAAAAAAAAAGAAAAAAAACCCAAACCCCGCGGCTGCACTCACCGGCGAGCAGGGCGAGCGGCAGCAGTAGCCAGTACAGCCCCCCCCATAGCCCCCGCCGCTCCATCCCGCTCAGGAGCCGGCGGGCCGGCCCATGCCCCGCCGAGCCGAGCCGAGCCGAGCCGAGCCGAGCCGAGCCGTGCCGTGCCGAGCCACCGGGGCTGGGCAGGCCCCGCTGGCCGGTCCCGGGAGCGCCGAAAACGGCCGCGTTTTTCCCCCCGCCCCGTTCTCGCTGCCTTTATAAGCGGCGCCCGCCCCTCTCGGCGGGCTGGCCCGGCCCGGCACGGCTCGGCTCAGCTTTGCCCGGTAGAGCAGCCCCCGCCACTGCTGACACGAGTTGGCCGGTCTCAGCCCCAACCCCTACACACACACACACACACACACACACACACACCCCCCACGGTGGGGGCAAGCCCAAACCCCCACACACACCCTGCCCCCCCAGTTCCTGCCGCCGGCAGCAAGGGCATTTGCAGCAGGGGAAATAAATCAATCTACAAAAAAAAAAAAAAAAAAAATAAAAAAAGCTGATGTGTTTCCTGTTTGCTTCGTATTAAAAAAAAAAAATAAAAATAAAACAACAAAGAAGCTGGAGCTAATTGAGGCTGAGTGCTCTGCTCTGGCCTGGGCTCGGTAATGTCAGCGCGGAGCCCTGCAGCAATGTGGGGTGCTCGGGTGTGCTCCCCCAAAAGCTGCTGTGTCCCCCGCTGGGAGCTGGGTCCTGTGTCTGGACCTGGAGCTGGGTGGGCAGCTACGCACCCCGGGAGGTGGGTGCCCAGACAAGAACCCCGGGAGGTGGGTGCCCAGACGAGGGGAGGTGGGTGCCCAGACGAGGGGAGGTGGGTGCCACGCTCGCCGCCGCAGCCCGAGCTCGGCGCTGGGCACAGCCGGTGAGGGCAGCGTGGCCGGTAGCCACGGGGCAGCCGGCAGTAGCCCGAGCAGTGCCGGTAACCGCCAGCTCCTAACAGGAAGCATCGACCCATGAAATTCCCCGCATTTTTTGGCTTCCCCACATTTGCTTTCCGAACGCGCTTAATAAACTGGCATCCAGCTGGCACGCCGCCGACCTGCTCCCCACCTTGGCGGGCTCTTCCCTCTTCCCTGGGCTCCTTCCAGCAATCTCGGGGTTCACCCCCCTGCCCAGGCCCGGCCCCCAGATGTGCCGCAGAAGCCGTAACCCCCAAACCACGGGCAGGATGGGCCCGAGGGCCCCAAATGCCTGTGTCCTGCCGAGTTTTACTGGGCGCAGCCCCTCGTGGGACCTGGGATGGGCTGTGGGTGCCCCAGTTGCCCCCCAGCAGCCCCTCTGCACCGACCTGGGACCTTGGAGGGGTTCACTCCTGTAAATAAAACACATATCAACGCCGAGCCACGAAGCGCTGTGTTAACACCACCCCTGCGAGACCCCAGCGTGGAAATTACCCCTGCAAAAACCCCAGGGCTGCGTGTCCGTCTGTCCACGTATGTGTGTCCGTGTGTTCCCCCCCCCCCAAGAATGGATCCAGGAAAGGGTGGTGCACGGCACCCACGCCAGCATCTCCCCCCCAGCACCCACCGCACCGCAGCCGGGCTGGCACGGGGAGGCTGTGGCAGTAAATGGGCCCGGGGAACAGCACCCCAGAGCCCTGCCTCGCACGGCCGAATCCGGCCCCGAGTGGCCCCCCCGCTCCATTTTGCCGGCCTCGCTCAGGCTGTAAGAGAGATGCTGGAGAACCGCTCGGCCCCGTAATGTGCTGCTGAGTGCCCGGCGAGGCATTTTATGGGTGAAGAAGCTTCTCCCATGTCCGGGCAGTGCCATTAGCACCCGGCCAAGCCGTGGGGCAGGGGGGATGCCGGGACACGGGGCGCTGTGGGCGCCTCCAGAGCCCCTTGTTCACCCTGCTGTCCCCAGCCAAAGCCTGAAACCGTGGATTTGGGGCAGGGAGGGGGGCGAACGGTAGCCCCGAGTGCGCTGGGGAGGGCAGGTAAAACGGGTGACCACTAGCCCAGAGGCCAGTGCCACTGCAGATGCTGGTTGCCCTGCTGGGTGTCCCCCCCCCATTTTGCAGCCCACCCCGCACCCACCGAGGGCCGGGCAGCCTCCAACCCAGCCGGTGCCCTAAAGGTTGGAACCCCCACCCCTAAACCCGGGGAGCCCCCCCCCCCCCGCCACCCTCCTCGCCCCACGTGGAGCACCGCTATGAGGAGGTACGGCGCCTTTAAGAACCCCATGGCGCCAATTCCGCCCCACGTGACACACACCCCCCCCCCCCTCCGCTCCACGGCGGGGCGGTGCTGCGGCCGCGCGCGTTCCCGCCAAGAGCGGAGGTTTTGGCGCGCCGCGGGCACGTGTGGGGCTCGTTGCCGGTACCGGGAGCCGTCACCATCTATCGCCGGTTACCGGGGGCCGCCGCCATGGCCCAGCTCCGCCTCACCGATTTCTTCAGCCGCACGAAGGCGGCCACCGGAGCCCCGGCCAAGCGCGGCGGCCGCCGGCTCAAAGCCGCCCATCCCGGTGCCCCGGTTCCCCGGGAGGCGGAGGACGGTGCCCCGGTAGGGCTCAGTCCCCCCCCGCTGCCCGCTTCGCCGCGCACCCCGGCCCGCCGTGGCTCCCCGGTGGGGCGGGGGCTGGCGGGCAGGAAGCGGAGCCGCCGGGAGGTGGAACCGGAGCCGCCGCTCGGGGCTGGGGAGACCGGGGAACCGAGCGGGAAATCGGCGCGGAAGAGGTTGGAGCTGGACCGGGATGAGGAACCGGGACCGCCGCCGGCCGCGGTAAGGGAGCTGCGGGGGTCGGGGATGCGCTGCCCCCCCCGGGGCTGCGGCCCTAAAACGGGGGGGGGGGGCGTAAAACCGGGGTAGTGTCCGGACCAGCCCCCCCTAACTGCTCTCCCCCCACCCCCAAAGCTTGCCCCCCTTCTCCTGGTGCAGACCCCCCCCACCCCCCCAGGGCTTGCCCCCTGCCTCTAATTCAACCCTTCCCCCCAGTCCAAGGCCAAGGGGGGGGGGCACTGGGAAAGGGGGTCCCGGCGGGTGGGTTCATCCAATCGCCCTCTAACTTTTACTCCGCTCTCTTTCAGGCCACCAGCCCCTCGCCTCCGGCCACTGCTCAGCACCCTCCGCTGCCCTCGCTGGACCCAGCAGCGGACCCCCCAGCCAGCACCCCCAGCCGGGGGCAGGACGGGGGGCCACAGCCTGGCACAGCCCCCCCAGGGACAACCAGGCACCTGCAGCGGGTACGGGACCGGCCCGGCTTTCCTCTCCCATTTATTTTATGGTTCTGCTCTGACCTTGTCTCCCCTCCCCACCCAGGAGGACCTGGCCGGGCTGCGGTGCCGCCTGCAGAGGCTGAAGGGGGTGACCCAGGTGTCACCCATCCCCCCGGGGACCAGCACCGACCTCCGGAGCCGTCTGGAACGGTTGCGGCAACTGGAGCTGCAGATCCGCGAGAAGAAAAGGGGAAGCGGAGCCGCGGCGGGAGCGGGGCCGTCCGGGGACACCGGGCCGGCAGCTCCTGCGGTAGAGACCGGGTGAGGAGCGGCTTTGAGGGGATGCAGCCTCAGATTTGAGGTGAAATCGGGGCGTCCCGGTGACCGCCGGGGGTCATGGTGGCCCCGCTACCTGCAAAGGGCTTCTCCGAGCGTGGGCTGAGCCACCCTGGCTCTGCTTTGGGACGCCAGGGTGGGTGATGTGACCCAAGTCCTGGCACCGGTCGCTCACAGAAAGGTTTGGGGATGGGTGGATGGAGGGGAGGGGGAGGATCTCCCCAAACCGAGGTGGTCACGCAGCTCCTCAGCTTTGAGGTCAGCGCTTTGGGCAGTGGGACCCCCCGTCCTGGCCCGTCCCCATCCCTGGTTGCACCCTCAGGGCCGTCCCAGCGCCGTGTTCACCATGCCCGGCACGGGGGGTGGTTGTGTACAGGAGACCCTGACCCCTCTTTTATTTTTATTTTTCAGCGAGAAGACCCCGGCGTACCAGCGGTTCCACACCCTCGCGCAGGACCTGCCCCCGGGGCTCACGCTGCCCTACAAGTTCAAGGTACTGGCCGAGATGTTCCGCAGCATGGACACCATCACCGGGATGCTCTTCAACCGCGCCGAGACCATCACCTTCGCGAAGGTCAAGCAGGGGGTGCAGGACATGATTCGCAAGTAAGTCGGCAGCAGCGGGCAGCCCGTTTTGGGGGTCCCAGCGGAAGCTGTCGGGGCTGGTGCCTTGGTGTCAGCCTTTGGGGTTGCCGACTTCTTGGGGTGCCGTTGCAGGCAGTTTGAGGAGCGCCACGTGGGGCAGATCAAGGCGGTGTACCCCACCTCGTACAGGCTGCGCCAGGAGAAGAACATCCCCGCCTTCGGCAGCGGCGTGAAGAAGTCTGACTACCAGCTCACACTGGAGCCGGTGCTGGGGGAAGGTATGTACAGCTCGGAGGGGGGGTGGGGGGTGTGCCCTGAGAGCTGGGGGTGCGCTCGGTGCTGGCTGGGATCCCCAAATCCCCCAGGATGTGCTGGGTTTGGTCTGTTAAATAATCTGGCGGGTGAGGGCCTGAGCGTGTTGGAAGGGGGAAAACGCCTTTGGGACAAGTGGGGGGGTGGCAGCGACTTGGGCAGTGCCTCAGCCCCACAGTGGGGCTCTGGTCCTGCCCTTGCCGAGGTTCGGGTGCCGTCGCGGCGTTGCCGAGGTGCCACGGGTGACGCTCATGTCTCTCCTTGCAGAGGAGAAAGTGGACGGCCGCCCGCACTTGTCGGCGTCGCGCTTGCTGGCGCGCAGGAAGGAGTTCCACCGCAACCTGGTGAACATCGTCAAGCAGCACCACAAGGTGAGAAGGGAGGGCCCCCCCCCCAGCACCCTCCGTTTTCGGGGTTTGGGGTCGCTCTGGTCACTGGAGATGCGGGTGGAGAGGAGCAGGCTGGCATCCAGGCTGAAGGATGTCGCTGGTTCCTGTGGGATGCTCTTGGCAGGGAGTGGGAATCTCCTGGCTCTGAATTTCCTCCAAGCTGTGCTGGGAGCGCGGGGCAATGGCCGGCTCCCCCCATGCCTGACCCGTGGGTGCTCTTGCCCCCCTCTCCAGGCGTTCCTGGCCGCCCTCAGCCCTCCCATGGTGGTGCCGGAGGAGAAGCTGACCCGCTGGCATCCCCGCTTCAACGTGGACGAGGTGCCGGACATCAGCCCGGCGGAGCTGCCGCGGCCGCCCCGGGAGGACAAACTCACCACGGCGCAGGAGGTGCTGAGCGCGGCCCGGGGGATGCTGACCCCCAAGGTGAGTCAGGCCCGGGGCTGGCAGACCTCAAACCCACCGTTTTCTCCGGGAAGATGTCGCCGGACAGGGGTGGTCGGGAAGGATCATTTCAGGACTGGGAGCGCTGTCGGATGTGGGCGGGTGGGGAGGCGAGCCTGGCTCTTGGCGGTGCTGGTTGTGGTGTAGGTTTCAGGCTAAGGGAGCCGTCAGTGCTGATTTTCGGGGACGGGAGAGGGGATGAAGCGCCCCAAACTGTCCGCTCGGGCAGGGATGGGTCAGACACACTGGGCTGTAGGGGGATGGCGGCGGGGGGAGACTTCTTCCTCAAGCGAGAGGCTCCCGGCTGTAACCCAACTCCTTCTCCCTCTTCCCCATGAGCAGATGGAAAAAGCTCTTGCCAACCTGGCCTTAAGAAGCGCTGAAGCCGGTGCGGGGGAACCGGTGGTTTCCAAAGCACCGTCCCCTGCCAGCACCTCCAGTGCTCTGAAAGGGGTGTCCCAGGCCCTGCTCGAGAGGGTGAGTAATTCAGTCCTGGCCGTGGTGCTGGGGTGGGGAACACGACCTTCCTGTGGCTCACCCCGTCTTCTCCGCTCCCCAAGATCCGGGCGAAGGAGGCGCAGAAGCTGGAGGCGCTGATGACGCGGGACCCGCGGCAGGAGGAGCGGCTCGCCATGCTGGGCCGGCTGCCGGCCATGGCCCGCATCCTGCGCAACGTCTTCGTGGCCGAGAAGAAGCAGGCGCTGACCATGGAGGTGGCTTGTGCCCGCATGGCCGAGAGCTACGACGCGCAGATGCCTCCTGGTAGGAAACCAAAGGATGTGGCGGCGGAGGGTGGGGGGGGGAAATCTCCGTCTTTGCGGGAGGAAGGGGCTGAGGAGCTGAGATCTGACCACCCCCCCCCCCCCCCGGCAACTGCTGCTCCTTTTTGGCAGGCGAGATGGAGAAACACTTGCGCCTCTTGGCAGAGCTGCTGCCCGACTGGGTGGGCGTCCACGCCATCAGGACCGACACCTACATCAAACTGGACAAAGGGAAGGACCTCGGCCTCGTCGCGGAGCGGCTCGCCAAGGCGGCCAAGGAGGCAGAAACCCTCTGAGCACCCCACCCCAAGCGTCGGGTCTTCCCCCCGGGCAAGCTCCTCGAGATGTAGGAAATCCCAACTGCGCGCCGGGCTCTGGTGTGGGATCTGACGGGAGGCTCAGCCTCAGGGATGTCTGAGGAAGAGCAAAACGCCTTCATTTAACTAATTCCTCTGCTAGGGTCCCCGAGGACCGTAGCTCCCCCAAGCCGGGGTGACGATGCAAGCAGTGAAGAGGAGCTAGTGACCTCTTCTCAGTTTTGCTGCCTTCTCCTGAAGGTTTGAGGCAGGAGATTTCTTCCATTAACTGGGCCCTGGTGGGGCGGAGGCAGGACTGGGCAGGGTGAGAGGGTGACACGCAGGAAGGAGCGAGAGAAGAAATCACAGATCAGTGTTTTTGGAGCTCGTGGCCTTGTTCCGTTTTTAAGGGAGGGAAAAACGCATCTCCAGCACGCTCTGGAAACAGCTACAGGACTTGTCAAAACATATTTTGTATTAAATGTTTTAAATAGAGCTGACTCGTGTTAACCCAGCGCTCTCCCTCGGTGAGCTGCCTCTCTGCGCCGCGTTAGCACCGCGCTTCTCCATGGCAATTGGCGTCGGCCGGCACAGGCAAGGGAAGGGCTGGGTCCTCGTCCAGCTCCCCGAGAAAGACTTACTGGAAAAAGTGAGCGTGGGTTTGCAGGGAGCTGAATGCAGCTTTTGTAAATAGGGACGGGGGAGCAGCTCCCCGGGGGGGCAGGAGCAGGCTGGGCTGGGGGTGGGTGCAGGGAGGAGGTGGGAGCTGCCCCGTGCCGCGGCGGGCACACCTCGCGCCGCTTGCCGAGCCAAACGGGGCTGGTTTCACCAGGGGACAGCAGCAAGGGGCTTGCAGGGGAAGGTGGCTGTCCTTCATCCCGCAGGGCGGGGGGACCACGCTGGTCCGGGGGAGCTTGGAAGTGAAGCTTCCACAAAAAAACAACCAACCAACAAAAAAAAAAAAAACAAAACCCAACAAACCTGAGAACCTAAAGTGCTGGTTTCGGAGGCTGGCAGCATTGGAGATTCCTGCAGTGCTGCCTCAGGGAGCAGGCAAGCCCTCTTCTTCCTCCTCCTCTTCTTGTCTTCCTCCTCCTCCTCTTCTTCTTCGTCCTCCTCATCCTCTTCTTCTTCGTTCTCCTTCGTCCTCCTCATCATCTTCTTCTTCGTTCTCCTTCTTCGTCCTCCTCATCATCCTCTTCTTCGTTCTCCTTCTTCGTCCTCCTCATCCTCCTCTTCTTCGTTCTCCTTCTTCGTCCTCCTCATCATCCTCTTCTTCGTTCTCCTTCTTCGTCCTCCTCATCCTCCTCTTCTTCTTCGTCCTCCTTCTTCGTCCTCATCCTCCTCCTCCTCTTCTTCTTCGTCCTCCTCATCCTCCTCCTCCTCATCCTCTTCTTCGTCCTCCTCCTCTTCTTCTTCGTCCTCCTCATCCTCCTCCTCCTCATCCTCTTCTTCGTCCTCCTCATCCTCTTCTTCGTCCTCCTCATCCTCCTCTAGGACGCTGCTTGGTGTCGTGCGGGCCAGTTGGCCAGCGCTACTGGCAGGAGGTAGCCCTGTTTCCAGGGAGGAGGGTTTAAACCTGGCCCAGCAGCTGGAAGGGTTGAGGCTGGGCTAGCAGGCAGGCCAGGCTAGTGGCCACGCTGAACGGGCCTCACTGCAGTCAAGAGGAGCCGGTTTCGAGAGAGGCTGGTTTCGGCAGCCTGGCAGGCAGACGCGTGCCCCAGGGGAGCTCCCAGCGAGCTCCCGTCCTGCTGCCTGGGACAAAACCCTTGTCTCTACGAGCAAATTACATCAACGGTTGCTCGCAGCCCGGCCAACCCGAAAAGCACCGTCCCCGAGTTCCCTGATGTCACCCCTTGGCCCTGCACACAGCCAGCTCTGGCACTGGCAGGGCTTTACGCTCGCTTCCACGGCACGCAGCTGCTTTCCACGGCTTTTTAGGGGTGGAACTAGTTTTTCCCTTCTCAACCTCGCAGCAGGGACCCCCCCCCCCCCCCACCTCGCTTCGTGCCAAGTCTGCGGGCGAGGCGCTGCCTCCCTTGGCACCGCGCAGGGGCTGGCTGTGAAAATGAGTGCCCAGGGGTAGGTTTCTCCCTGGGGACTGGTGTTTCTCAGTGCAAACTGAGCAGCCACTGAAGTGGCTTTTCAGGAAACGGTGATAAAAATAGCTGTAATAACCCTTACAAGTGTAAGGCATCCCCTAGGCACTGGATGGGGAAGGCGAGCCGAGCTGCGGGGGCTTGGTCTGTGCTCCCACCCGCACTGGGCACTTCCACTGTAACCCAGCAGGACCAGCCTGGGGAAACCCCCCTTCCAGCTAGAGGCTGAGGCCACGCACAGAGAAAAGATACCTGAACTGCTCAGTCCCGGCAAGCGATTCCTTCCAAGCATTTCGGGTGGCAAGGGGGAGGCTCCCGCCACAGCCTGGCTCTCCCCTGACAGCCTGGGTTTGGGGAAAGACACTCACAAGGGTCAGTAATGGCTTCAGCTACTGCAAGAACAGCTCTGAGACAGTTTAGAAAAAATAAGTCAGCATTTATTTTACCAGCGAGTTCAAGCCCTAGTACACGGACACAGTCCCTAATGTTTTCCAGCACGCGGAGGTTTTGGCACACTGGGTCTGAGAGCTACCCCTGTGACCAAACTTGAACCGTGCTCTAAGGAGCATCTCCAAACCCCACGTCATCCATCACGCAACCCGAGTGAGACCACCGGAGCTCAGCTGCAAGTATAACACCTTTTCTTTCTTTCCTCTGACCTTATCTGCCAACAAGCATGAGCTCCGAACTGGCATCGTCCTTCCAATGTCCTGATGCCCCAAGAACACGGCAAAGAGGAGTCAGAAATATTGCAGTAGATGGGGAATTTGTGCTGAACAAATGAACAAAAGCTGCCAGGCCTGGCTGGGGCTGCTGGGCAGCAGGCAGGTGAACAGCCCCCAGCGTGTGCCTGGCCCCTTCCTCCCTGCCTGTTGCCCAGCTGTGTGCTACGACTGCTCCCAGTTTTGCAAAATCCCCGGCTAAGAAGTGCCCTGGAGCAAGGGAAGGCTTCCTACAGCAGAGACCTTCAGCTTCCTGCGGTCTCAAGGGAAGGAGACCACGAGCCAAGCTGCAAGCTGACATCCTGCTTGAGCTCATCTACACCAGCAACCTCCACTGCGTTGGCAGCAGCTGCCTCCTGATTTCAGGACACAGGTCTGGGCAGGCACTTAATTCTCCTTAACAAGCACTACCTTAATTTAAGAGCAACCTACTCTGTTGTGAGCAACAGCAGAGAGCAATCAGACCTTCCTCTGAGGTCAAGTACTGAGGGATTTATCCCTTAGACAAATAATCACTTTTTTACCCATCTTCTGTGTTTCTTTGGCAAACTTTTAACGGGTTCCTAGGAGGCTGACCAGGCACGGCTCAACTAAAAGGGAAGGCTGGGCCCCCTAAGCTACTGGACCTCTC